TAAATCATTACATGAAATCCCACAAACCTTTTCATGCTGAAGTCTGACCAAAAGCCCGTAAGGATCTCCTTGGCCTTGAAAAACCTGGGAGTGGTGCAACCAGCACACAGAACTAAGGGTTTAACACTGTAGTGACACACAGTGCTTTCAGTGACTGGCATTCCTGTGCTGTACACAGACTAACACCATTTAACATTCCAAATTGCTCAGAGAGCTGCAGAAACCTCTGCCACGAAGTATTTCACACTGGGGCACCTCCACAGGGAATGAACACAGAGGAAGCCCTCCCCAATGGCCATCAAAGAGAGGATTGCCCCAAACCAGTGAGATGGAGCTGATTCCTGTTGCAACCCTTCTCTCCACCAAGGCAAGGCTGTGGAGACTGGGGTGACTGCCCTGAAAACTGAATGCACATGTGCAGTGTGGGGGAACAGCTTCCCTCCACAGGACACCAGTACAACAGCCCACACTCACCAGCAGGCTCAGAGCTCTGCTCACTGCCAAGGCTCATCCCAAACAGACCCCTGGCTCAGCCACAGGCTGACAGCAGGCTGTGCCCCATAGGGGCCACAGCTACCACAATGAGCCCCTGCACATCTACCCAGCACTAAGGAATACCCAAGGCACAGCATACATGGATACCCCAAAGCACAGATGAACTGCTGAAAGCCACTGCAGCCATTCAGAGTTACCTCTATTCCTCTGGTTCCATGGGATTAAACACTACAACCTGCATGCTGCTCTGGATCACAGCTGCTGTGATGGCCATGGTACGGCCATGACTCACACCTATGGGTACCCATTTCCATATCCCAGCTACTGGATCATCCAATTTAATTCTGCATTTAGAGAGCATCATTTGCTTTATTAGTATCACATGCCTAAATCATAATTCTGCACTATTTGGGGAGGGAAGGAGGGTTAGGCCAAACAGCTACTTGTCAAAAAACAGCTTCAAATTCTTATTCAAACATCTAAGGACAAGACCCACTTGAATTCATCCCCTGCCACAGAAATTTCACTTGGTGAGCTGCCCTGCATAAATCTGAACATAACACGCTTTTCCAGCAGGCAATATTTTGTAAGGCTTAGCATCTGACAGATACAGGCCTTTCAAGGAAAACAGTATGAAACTGTCATGATTACTTGAGCAGACATCACTGACAAAAGCAAATTTGTGCCTGAACTGTTGCTGCAGAAATATTTCAGGCAGTATTTTTTCAAAGAGAATATAGATCTGGAGGGACATTGCCAAGGTTTTAAAGATCAAAATGTGTTACTTGCAGTGCTATAATTGGATGGAAACAGTCCTCCAGATCTGAAACATCAGGTTCAGTTTGGTTTTTAAATCAAACACCACATTTGCAGGATTTCTGTAGGACCTATACATCCCAGCGCCTGTTTCCCCCACTCGGTAACAGTGAGCTCTGCTGACAGAGCCAGTGAGACCAACAGGGGTAAACAAATCCCTTCTGACATGACAGTGTCACACAGTCAAACACTGCCACTCACATGGAAAAAACCAACAGATTGCTTCAAATCTAACTCCACTGGAAATGCAGGGCTTGCTTTGAACTCCCGTTCTCCAAGTGAGGGGCAGAGCAATTCCTCATTCCTTTAAAGCAGCACTATGGAAACACAAAGGCAGTACTCAGCCTTTGTCAGTATTTAGGGTCAAGTAACCAGGAGGAACAGTGCTGTCTCCTCACTGGGATTTGGGCTGTGCTCCAGCTCATAAGCAGGATAGGGGTCCCATCCATCCAGTGCAAGAGTGGCCCCTGAACCCTTCCTAACATCACCCCACAGTGATTTTCTGGCTGTGGCAGAGGGATCTGCAGCCAGGGAAAAACCTTCTGTGTTCTGTGTCACCTCAGACATGATGTCCTGGCATCCATCAGCCTCCAGCTCCTGGCAGGAGCCGCTATCCCAGCTCACCTGGCAATCCACAGCTGTCCCAGCAGTGTCATGGCTGCAGAGACACCTGCTGACCCCCAGCCCCTACAGCAGCACCATCAGGATCTCCAGCATCCCTACAATGGACTCCCTCGCAATTTTCATCAGGGAGGGAGGAAAAAAAAAGAAAAAGGAAAAAAAAAACCAAAGGAAATTAAAATGCCCTCTATTTTTAGTTCTGTACTGCCCCTCAGCACTAACACTAAAAATAGATATGATGGAATGGGAAAAAAAAAAGACTGCAGGACTAAGAAAATGTTCTTTTAGCAAAATTTTGCAAAGTCAAAAACAATTGTTCCCATTTAAAAAAAAAACACATCCTTTTTTTTTCCTATGCAAACCAAAATAAACGAACACTTTTTAATTTTTTTGTAACTTTTTGTTTGCTGGTTTCCCCACAACAATTTATCAAGACAGCTTTCAAAAGAAAATGCATGGATTAAATCCTTTTAAAGAGGTCTGACCATCCTTTAATGGTCTTTTAATGACTGGGACTCATCTGCTGCAAGCACACCTTGCAATGCTGAACAAATGGAGAAAGCACAGCCTCAAACATGCATCAGTAAATGAATGAGAACATCTCCATCAGAATTCCCAACACACTAATGACTTTAAATAGGAGCTTTTTGGTGCAGATTCCTTTTATTCAGAATATCAATACCTACATTTTTGCAGATAAAATCTCTCCTGACTTGACCATGGAGTTACCCAGGCCATCACCTCTGCACTTTCAAGCCCAAGATTTATCTTCCTGTGCCCTATTTTTGTGCTTAGTTTCCTGAGAAGGGTCCCAAGAAACTGGATGATATCTTCCCCCTTGGTTTTGGTTCACTTTGCCATTGATACTTGCCCACAACATTGACTGGAATAAGGCTCCAAGGACATGCCTAGGGAATTGTGGAAACAGGTGCAAATTCACACCAAACTTGTCAGCTCCCACTGCAGGGACTCCATGCATGAACAGACCTGGGGTTTCAGTGCAGACAAAGGTGTCCCTGCTTCCAAAGCCAAGGCTAACTCCAAGTTTCCCAGAGCAGGCACTTTCCCCTGCAGGAGGCACTCAGGATCCTAGGGAGCAAGCTGTTCTTTGAGTGCTGGAGGTATTTCAAGCTCCAGACTCACTACAACTACCAGCAATTTACATCCTAAAGCAGCTGTCTGCCCTGTGTGCTCCTAGAACATTTGGTACAACCAACACATTATAAAAAACTTGCTGAGGGATCCTGATTCATCTAACTGTAAGTCACTGAGAATGTCATAATTAAAATAGGCCACAAACAAAGTCTGCAGTCAAATACCCAATTTTATATGCATATTTAAAAACACAACAGCTCAGTATGTTTGATATGCTCTCTCTCTACCAAAATCAACTAATCATGGCCAAGCAACACTGAAGTACATGCTTAACTTCAAAGCTGTGAGTAAATCCAATGGATTCATTCTCATCTCTAACCCTGCATTTAGGGAGACATGAACATGAAACATGTCAGAACCTGTGCAATCATTCTGGGATCCAGATCCACAGATATATCAGCAAAGGCAATTTAAATTAAATTCTGGTCATGCTTTCAGCATCTGAATTTCCCCACACACGTGGCAGTGCTGAGGGAACTGTCCCATCCCACCTCCTCCCATGCATCAGCTTTAGGGACTGTGCACTGCAAGCCAGCACAGTGCCCAGCACCCCTGAAGCCCCTCCCAAGGCAGCTGTAAAACATTCAATTGCCTGGGCCAACAGCTTGCAGCTACACAGCATCCCATGCCCACTGATACCTCAAACTGCTTTCCACCTTCATGGGTTTGCTGTCTGTTGGTAAGGAACACAAAGCACCCACTGCTGAGACACACCAGGCTTTTAGCAGCAAATCCCAGCTCTTTAGCCTTGCCTAGAAATAGCAGACAGCAGCCACGGGCAGGGAGTAAAAACATAATAATAATTCAATAACACAGAAGAAATTTGACCAACAGACATTCCAGATGAGTTAACACTGACATTTGCCTCCTGCATAAAAGTATTCTAGAGTAGTGATTTCAACCTTCTGCAAAGAACAAGAAACACTAACCAGCTCCTTTCTGCAAGATTATGTTTTCCTCCATCCTTCCCTGACTGTCTCCAAAAAAGCTGGGAGCAGTTTTTTCCTGCAGAACCTGTAATATATGCACCCAAAGTATGGGCAGCTATCAAATAAAATTCCCCTGAAACTCTGCCCAATCACAGAATCTTTTTAGGCTGGAAAAGACCTTTGAGATAATCAAGTCCAGGTTTTAACCTAGCACTACCAAGCCCACCACCAAACAATGTCCCTGAAGTGCCACAATCTACATGGCTTTTAAATACCTCCAGGGGTGGTGACTGAGCAGCCTGTTCCAATGTTTGACAACCCTTTCAGTGAAGGTTTTCCCAATATCCAATCCAAATCTCCCCTGGCACACCTTGAGGCCATTTCTCTTATCCTAGAGCTTGTTATTTGGGAGAAGAGACAAACCCCCACCTTGCCACAACCTCCTCAGGCAGTTGTAGAGAGCAATAAGGTCTCTCCTAAGACTCCTTTTCTCCAGGCTAAACACTCCCAGCTCCCTCAGCTGCTCCTCATAAGACTTGTGTTCCAGTTCCTTTCACCAGCTTCATTGTCCTTCTCTGGACATGCCCCAGCACCTCAATGACTTTCTTGTAGTGAAGGGCCCAGAACAGAACACAGGATTTGGGGTGCAGCCTCACCAGTGCTGAGACAGGGGGCAATCACTGCCCTGGTCCTGCTGGCCACACTGCTGATGCAGGCCAGGGTGCTGCATGAATCTCATGCACCTCAGCACACCCCTGGCTTATATTGACATGGCAGTCAGCCAACACCATCAGGGCCTTTTCATTACAGCATCCATCATTTCCTTCCATGGAAGAAAGCTGTGCCAGTCATACCTCTTCCATTTCTGTCCTCAACCCACTGCTGTAAAGATAAGATAATAACACAAACCAGTGCTCCACAAATAACGAATGCTCCACTTCCCAGAAGTTTTCCCCACTTTGATGGGAGATCTGGTTTTGAACATGAACAAAAATAGGCTGAAAGGTCCTGCTGCCCTCTACACCTCCAGTTTGCCCACGTGTGTTTTAAATGTGTTTACCTTGGTCCACCTGAACAATTACACAAAACAAAATACGGTTGAAATAGTCCAAGCACTATGTGACAGCTGAATCAAGCAAAATGGTCTCTTCCAAAGCGGTATAAACCTCTTCCTGACCTGAAGGGGAAAACAAATCAGAGTGATCCCAAGAAACAGCTTATTTGCACAATGGGAGACACTTGTACACATCACTTGCATTGTTCATGATCTCTGTACTCATCCATGTCCACATCTGAGTCAAAGAGGGAGTGTCCAGTGTAATCTGTGTCAGGGGTTTGGGAAATACTGTTCTCTTCCTCATCAAATGTTTCTGTCCTTGAATAAAAACTGAAGTCCTGCAAAGGGGAGTAAGTCTTGCTTGCTTCGCTGCTCTCCTCAGATTCATACAGAGTGTTGTCATCATCATGGTGCCATTCTGGCCAAAATTTCCTCCTTATTCTTTCACAATACATAGCAAGGTTAATGAGTTCACCTGCAACACAACACAACAGGCTTCAGAAAATATATCCAGGCAATAATGCTCTAAGTCACCTGATGATGCAAAAACACATCAGCTGTGTTAGGAAACAAACTGCGTAGGGCCTTTCCAAAGAAGTTTCAAAATTCCAAGATGCCATCAATCCTCTTACCAGCTGTTTTTAATTTTAATGTAACCACATACAAGAAGGGTTACACATGAATAAGCACAAATGCATGGTCATACAAATAGCAAAGTAAGTATCCCAAATTCAACCTCTACAAAAAGAAGTCAAGACAAGACACAAATACTGTAAGGTTTCTAGAGTAGAACTTTTTGCTTAATTGTAAACACATGGTTCCTAAAGACAGAATTTGATCTTCTAGATGGCAGAGCATGCTTATTAAATACAGTGAATGTGGGGTTTTCACCACCAGATGGCAGCGTTGCCTGCAACATAAATTCACATTTAATATGGCCACCGGCTCACTCCTACTGCTCCCAGCCTTATCTTATGCCTTGTTTATAAACACATGTATGCTTACAGAATAAATCGTTAAAAAATCAAAAAAGAAATAACAGCGTGTTAAAGGGGAGGTGAATGTAAAACCTGTGTTCATGACAGCATAAGTAGGTTGATAGGTACAGAGAATCAACCACACTGATTGGGTATTTCAATCTATTATCTTCTATTTATTTCCACTAGAGACAAACTAATTCAACAAGCATAGTAATCCTTCTAGCCAGCCACGAGCCCTTCAGAATTTTACCTGTGATGCCCCAGACATAAAGGGGAAGAACTGCATAGCCAATATTTATATCCTTTCCTCATTATCTGAGGAAAAGAGTAAGCCTGTGCCTCTTCACCACAGGTTTAGCAGAGCTGTCCTACACAGAGTAGGTTTACAGGTCAGATTCACTCCTTTTACACTATTTTACATCCTTTTCCTCCTTAGCTCTTCCCATTTTTCATGCTGTGTGGTTTTACTGTGAAAATGCATGCAAAGATACTTTATCCCACAAAAAAGAAACAAACCAAAGAACATCCTCTGTGGGGAGAAGGGGCTTGTTGGCTTCCAATTCATGCAAAAGCAAAGCGACTCCAAAGCCAAGCTGGATTTCTTCCTTGCCTGGCATCTTCAGGAACAGCAAAGGCTGTACTTTCAGTGGGACAACAGCACTTGCAGTTCTACTATCAAGGAAAGTTTTCAGCTCAGCAGAATTTGGTTAATGGCTGTTTTTCTGTTTTCTCATACATTACCCAGCATTCACTCCTTAGAAGCTTTAAGGCTTTGCCATGTTAAACAGGGAAAAGATCAAGTAAAGAAATAAAAACAATTACTGTGTAGAACACTAAAGAGAAAACAAAGACTTTTAACAGAAAACAGTATTACAGGATACAAATGCTACATCAAAGGCAAGAACGGTCTGCTGAAGTACTGCAGTCTTCAAAATGTCCTTCCAAGGTACTCCAGGTTTAAATGTGAAAAATGCCACCAAGAGCTTTTCATCAGAGTTCACTTATGCCTTCTTACCTTTGATTAGTCTCTCTGGTCGAGTCCCTGGTAATGTCCACATTGCCTGTGCCAGATGTCCAAAGACAGTGGCATCAACAGTAGAAACAGTTGATCCCATAATGTACTTCTTGTCACCTGTAAATACAACAGCAAATATTTCTTTATTGGATGTCACTCTTCCCCAAATTAAAAAAAAAAAACACAGTTCCACCTTTAGCATATTCATTTTACTGAAATAATTTCAATGAAAATGTTCACTTGCTCAAAGACAGGGATTCCAAAACTGTTTCAAGGGTTCAGCAGGTGAAATCCATTACTGCAGCTGCCCCTGTGCTCAAGACTTCTACAACCAGGTAAATTACAGAGCCACCACTGGCCAAGGAACCTCTTCTGCTCCTCACAGCTGGCAGTGCTCACACCCTGTACTCGTTCTGCTGCATTTAAATTCTGCTCTGCAGCTACAAGATGCCTGAAAACACCATTTCTGCCTTTGCTGCAAACCCAAAACCACTCAACCACGATTCAAAATCATGAACTTGCTGAAAGAAGCTGGGCATCCTTTACCTCCCACCCATCCAGACCCAGGTTCAACTTTCTCAATTTATCAGCTGGAAAAAGAAAAGTCACACCCAAAGCTCTCCTCTCTCCCTGTTTGTTCAGGACGAAATGGATGCACCAGTCAAACCTGCAGCAAGTGCTCAGAAACAACCTGCATCTCCAGGAAGAGGACAAAGCCACAGGCAGGAGTGGACAGGTCCTCTCACACACCCCCACTGCAGTGCCCTCACCCCCACTGACCCCTCACAGGGACAATTCAGAGGCATGTCAGGCACTAAGTGAAACAGCAGCCCTTGGGGACTGGCCTGGAGCAGTGGAGGGACAGGTCTGCTCCTCACAGCAGTTCTGCTTTAGCTCTCTGGGCACCCCAATATCATGATGGTCCTAAATGGCCATCACAGCACAAAGAGATGGGTAATTAACTAAGGGAAGAAAATACATCTTTTCAAAGCCACTGTTTGCTACAAAACATCCACTGTAGACTGGTTTTCCCATCACAGGCAGAAGACCTGGAACAAAGACCAGGCACAGAGCACACAGTGAGTGAAACATGAAGTACTGCAGAGGTCAGGTTAGCTGACTGCACTGCTCCTGCCTCGGCCCAAAGTGCCATTAACTCTGTGAAATGTGGCACCTAATTGAATTCTCAAAATCCACTTATCCCATCTCCCCAGGACATTGTTCCAAGCTGCCTGTAATTCAGCAGGTTATTCAATGTACAGTTTATTGAGCAAGTCCAGAGGAACTGTCCAGTGTAAAATGCATCAAATTCCAGAGTACAGTACAAGGAATGCCGCCAAGCCCCTGCACAAGAGCACAGCAAAACAGGAATACCCAGTAACAGTAACCTTCTCTGGCCTGTCAGATGTCATTTGAACACACAGTTAACTCTCCCCAACTCCTTCCACGGTTCCATCAATTCACTGTTTGAAAACTCTGTACAGGGTAAATGTTGTGTCTTTTCGGTATTTATCTGACACCTAAGCACTCACCAATCTCAAGCACAGCTCAAAAATGGGTCCCTAAACCACAGTTACATGCCAGCAGCAGGAATTTAGCACCATACAACTGGGTCTTGAGATTCAATCCATAGTGGTGTTGTGCTGGGAAGAAATAATACCATTTCCATCTTGCTACAACTAAAGCAGGCTCTGAGTGAGGACTAAACCATCCCACCCTCTGGTTCCCCAGGCACAATACCCCACACCTGCAGGTGCATGGAAGCAAAGAGCAAGAGGAGAAAATGAAACTGTGGGATCATAAAACTTCAAATCTGCTTTTAAGTCATGCTGTTTCACAAAGTATGGCACCTCGGCACATTTTATTCCACCATTCCCAATCTGTTCTCAAAACTTCCAGGGCAACTTTAGTCCAGAAGACCTTCTGATAGACCAGATATTTCTGTGTCTGTTTTTAGGCAGGATTACATAGAGTCTGTCACATCCAGGCTGCCACAGCACTGACCATCTCAAACACCCTGTGCATCCCCTGGCTAATCAAACAGAAATGAAATCACCCGGTCACAATGGACTGGGTCAACTTTGTACTGAATTCCCAGAATTTGAGAGTACCCAACTCCACTGTTTACAAATGCATGCACCAGAAGATTCAAAAGCAGCTACTCCAACAGTGGGTGAAGAAACCCCAGCGAGAAGCAGGTCTGTGGGACACAGGCCTGCACCCTTCCACAGAGGCAGCTACAGCACTTGCAGGCTGCTACAGGGCACTAACTAACTTTAGAAGCTCAGATCCAGGTTATTCCAACCTCTGCATTTTCAGCTCTGAGCCCCCCTGCCCTCCCCAAAGCATCAAATGCTTTCCAAAATCCCCTTGAGGAAGCTGCTGGCCTGCAACTCCCTGCTCAAAATCCTCATTTGCCAAAGAGCCTGAGAGGCAGAGAGCTGAGAGGGCACCAACAGATTTCTGGCCTCTCACTTGCCTCTTCTAAACAATTACCAAAATGTGTATTTTTATATATTGCTAATTCATGTGCTCATTCCCCACACTTTCTTACACTATAACCACGCAGTAGGAAACTGCTACAACACAAGGAAATTATATTTGTGGTTTAAAGACTGCAGGACAGAGAGAAAGGTGATACCAATGGGATAGGCTGATCCATCACAGAGGGATTAGTTCCAATTTCCATGTTTATAAGGTCTGGAGGAGTCTGTCAGGGAAATGGGTATAAGGGAGATAGAAAAATTATTCTCAGAAATAAAAATAAAGAAAATAAAAAAGCACCAAAGATGTGATTGGAAATGTCAAAATTCATGTCATAAGAACTGACAGCTGCAAAGTTATCATTCTCTGGAAGCAGCTTTTAGAATTAAAAGTTATTTTTGTTCCCATGTGAATGGTCCTTGTTAAAAAAGGGGAGCATTAATCTGATATTCCTGATGGCTGACAGCTACAGTTTGGTATGTGCAGCTATTCTGCACCATAGGCATCATTTTTAAGCTCTTAAGATAAGAGCCAAAAATCTCAGCTACCTTCTCTTTAGGGAAAACACTTGGGTACATATATAGGGAGGGGAATCTCACAAAGACTGTGCAGGCAGTGAGCTGACTGAATGCCTTCTCCTTCCCCCTTTGAAACAGGGAGCCTCTAGTCAGGCTGGAATCTCCTGTTCCCACTCCAGAATACCACCTCGAGGGCACAGTTACCCAGACCCTACCATAAACAGCTGGCTGACGAAACAGGAGCACAGTGATGAAAATTAAGGCAATTACAGAAAAGTAGACAAACTCATTAATAATCAAAAGGGAAAATAAAATTATTCATGTTAACTGCACACTGACTAATCTGACATCCATTTCAGAGGGGAAGATGAAAAAAATGTACAACGTTCAGCTGGTAATATAATAAAATAACAGGAATACAGCAAACAGCCATCAAGACTTTTTGAAGTACACAGGCACATTCTCAACAACAATCTGGAATTAAGAAGAAAAACTCTGCTGGTAACATATGTATAAAACGATTTAAAATTTTATATACTGAAGAAGTGCTTGAGGATTTCCAGTACATTTTCCACAAAAGCCAGATACTGATTACAGCATTTGCCTTCACAGGGAGATGACCCAAGCCACCCAGGAAGGGAGAAAGAAGTCGGAAGAGAATTTTTCTGCAGGCTAGAATAAAGCTCTCATTTGAAACAAGTCCAATTTTGAACAGATTTAGAGAGTGACTAACATCTGTCAGCAAAACATGGTGGCACCTCCACCTGCTGAAATCCCATAATTAAAACTGGATGGCTTTTAGAAAGCCACCTCCAAGCCAGCAAAAAGGCACAGGCCTCAAGACAGCAGTGAAGCAGTCCAATCCACAGAGATCTGTCTAGATGATTACATGATCCCTTTGAACTTGAAATCTTACAAATCTCAGTGTCAGTATCCACTCTAGAGAAATAAGCAAATCAAGATACTTTTACAAGTACTCAGATACATGTTTTAGTTTTCGCTTGAAGGTTCCATCTGCTCTTGGCAGCCAGGGATGACTTTAGCACAGACAAATCCACTGCCACTCCTTTCAGCCTGACAGGCTTGTCTAGAATCAGGGGCTTTGCTGAGCTTCTAAGTCATAGACTGAACTTGGTCCAGCTCCTGTCCCAGCCCCTCTCCTCTTTGTGATGAACATGGAGTCACACAGTGCCAATCTCAAAACTGCAACATCAGCAGTCCCACAGAGGAGAGCACCTGGAGCTGGCCACAGCTCTGCAGCAGGTATGACCAGATCTCTTCTAAAATGAATTGCTCCCTTCCTTCCTCCCTCTCAAAGAAAAGAGACTTCTTCATCTCCAAACAACAGATTTTCTCTGAAGAGACACTAGAATAGATAATTGCTTCTGTTAACAAACAAAATGCAGCATAAGAAAGTGCTTTTAAAGGAGGAGCTGTCAAGTAATCTTCCCCTTGCCCATTGTGTCCATGTGCCCATTGTGTCCACGCACCTGATGGGTTTTTTTACACCCTGTTCCCAACCCAGCAACTCAACAGGTTTGTTTCAGAAAACAAAGTTATAGAAAACTCCACAGCTGGGTCTACTGCAAATACCTTCCTTTCCAAAACAGCCTGGAAGTCCAGAAGCATGCTTTTTCCTTCCCTTTCTCAGCAAGCACTCAGCTTCTGCCTTCTGCTGGGCTCTCCCCAGCTTGTTCCTTTCCTCCACTCCACACTTGTCTCTTTAGAGCATGTACAGTGTGTCCCTCTGGACCACAGGGCAGGGAGGCATCCTCCTGTCCTCCACTTAGCCACCTCTTCAAAGCAATTGTTACAGGGAACAACACAGGTACATCTCTCTTGGTTTCTCCCACAAGAGACATATGGAAAGTGACCACCTGCACCACAGCAATTCCTCAAAATGCAAGCCATACACAGATGCACAGTAAGCTTAGCTCTCAGTGGAGCAGAAGGCAAGAAGCACAGTGCAAAACAGTTCCAGTGCATATTTCAACCTGAGCCACATGACAGAAATGAGTTTCATGTAATTCCAGCTAAGTGAAGTCAACCTTAAGACTAATTGTATGGGATGCACCCAAGATAACCAAGAATCTTAAACACATGTATTTTGACAGCACAGAACCATCTCCTACTGGGAGCTTTCAATAAAGCTGCTGACACCAACCAAACACAGCAAAGTTCAGTTCATCAAAATAACATCTGCAAAGGGTTTTCAAATGGCAGCCTCAGAGCAATCTGTCAAACAGCCACAAATAAAAAACAGGAAAGGAAATACAACCTGGAAATACAAAATGAGACACACATTCCCCAGCCCCCAGAAAAGGTATAAAGAGGCTTCATTTGCAGAACTAAACACTGCATTTTCCTCATTTCATATCGCTAAATGCTCTTCCAAAACAGCAGGCCATGTTTTGCAGCTCTACATACACATACTCTGTGCTCAGAGAAGGAAGCCTCTTATGCCTCTAGACACACAATTTGGCAGCAAACAGTGGGAAAAGAAAACAGTGTCTCTGCCAGAGCAAGGAAGGCACGAAATGACAGCCTCTACCTTCTGCCAAAATGAGATTATTTGTGTGTGATCAAGCTGTCAGGAAGCCCTGGAGGTCAGTTTCAGCCTGTGGAGAGAGGGGCTGTGACCAGAGCACCACCATAACCCCTTGTACCTTACCCAGGAGGCCTGCCAGAGTCCTCATGTCCTTCTCCATCAGCGTGTACATCTCCTCCTCCGAGAAGCGCCCGATGCCGTGGCCGTACATCTCCCGCTTCACGATCCCTTTGGTCAGGTGGCAGAAGATCCACTTCAGCAAGTCGCTGAAGGGGCCAAAAAGCGAAACCATCTTCTGTGTCTCGTGAAGATTTTCCACCCACTGGCAATAAGCTAAAGTCCTGGAAGGATGCAGAAAGAAATTATAGCAGGGTAATCCCCAGAGAGCCCAACCCAGCAGAGGCTCGCACAGAGGTCAGGCAGGTGCTCGCTGCCCTGACGGAGAGGCAGCTTCCATAAACAGCAGCCTCTGAGGCAATCGGAGTGCCAGCAGAGCAAACCCACTTTACAGTACTTAGGCAGACTGCCCAGTGCTTATTCTCTCATTAAATCATGACTCACTTCAGGAGAAAACAAGATTCACGTTGAAATATAAAGTAAAAGTTGCAGAATTCTGCTAAACTCTTGTAACAAAATGCATTTATTAGCTAAAGATGACTCACTGCACAGACCTGGGCAAAACAACAACAAAACAGTCCCCCAAAAAATCAGTCCCACCAACCTTCCTCCTTTCTATGCTGCTGACACCTAGGCAAGCAGTAACTTTGTTCCAATATAAATACTGAAGCAGTAATTTTTCAAAAGGTTTCTCTTCAGAAACTAGGAATAAAACGATCTTTTAAAAATAAAATATAAAAAATTAAGAAGTGGTGGTTATTGAGTTGATTTTCTCCTGTACAGTTTCCTCTATTCAAAACATTGATTTTATGAGAGAGACATTTCTAAAGGACTCTGTTGTGCTCCATGCTTTATTGAATGGTAAATAAAATCTTTTAAAAAGTATTTTTATATAATTTGTCTCAGCATCTTGTATTTTTGTTACCCACATGAGTTTTTGTTATTTATTAATATTACAGGGAAATATATATTGATTTGTTGCTACAGAAACCTATGAAAAAAGAAACATTAACTTTTTTAATATCCATCATCTTCAGAAATCACAAATAAACCAAAAAGACCATATAGATGAATTTTTGTCACAAAGTTCAAGGGTTGTTGGAAAAACAGCTAAAGGCACCTGAAAGTAGACACGATAAACACAGAAAGCCTGTGGGGTCTCAGAAACACTGAGAATTGATATACACATTCCAATCCAAGTCATTCCAAGGCTTCATTGTTTTCATTTGGAATATGACTTCAGTTTTACCACTGTACATATTTCCAACTCCACATCATTTCCTTAGTGCTGATATGATTCATCTAATTCAAGAAAGGAAAGTAAAAAAAAACCAAAAAACCAGTATCTCCTGGAGAACTCCAGTGACATCTTTTGATAATGTACATTTTATCAAACTCACAATGTCCACTGCAGTTCAATGGCTTCTGCTCTAGCTGGTTTCACCGAAGTCAGTAACAGTGAGGTGTGAACAGGCTTTGCTGCAAATGTATAAACAGGGAACAACAAAAATGTACCTGCTCTGCTACTGATGGCTTTGACCCTCAACAGATTACTCCACAGCCTCCAGCACTGTGTAATTATAACAAAAGCATCCTGCTGGCAGTTCACATGCTTCAACACCACTTTCAGAATGGGGTGTTCTGCACAGTCCTGATTTTTCAAACTTGATGGATGAACTCAAGTCATTGAGCAGGTTTCAGCAACGCAAAGTTTGAATCAGAGACAGATTTAGCAGAGGCACCAGCAGTGCAGGAGGAATGTGAAGCCAACAAATGCAGCAGTAGAGCTACTGGAAGTCCTAAAGCACTGACTTTGTCTGGAAGATGTGGTGTGAGATTGCCCTGTTCCAGGAGCAAAGGTAAAGCAGGACTTAAGGCAAATGGAAGAAGGCTGGGCTGAAGGCATAAGGGCAGGGATATTATAACCCATTAGATCAGGTTGCTCAGGGTCCCATCCAGCCTGGCCTTGGGCACTTCCAGATACAGGGCATCTACAATTTTCTGGGCAACCTGTGCCTCACCGCCCTTTGAGTAAAGAACTTCTTTCTAACATCGAATTTACATCTCTCCTCCGTTGGTTTAAAACTGCTCTCCCTTGTCCTATCACTATCTACCCACATGAAAAGTCACTCTCCCTCTTTCTTATAAGCCCTGTTTAAGTACTGGAAGGCCACAACAAGCTCTCCCTGGAGCCTTCTGCTCTTGATGCTGAACAACCTCAGCTCTCCCAGCCTGTCTTCACAGGAGAGGTGCTCCAGTCCTCTCATCATCTTTGTGGCTTCCTCTGGACCTGCTCTAACAGGTCCAGATCTTTCTTACGCTGGGGACTCCAGAGCTGAGAAGAGGTGAGGTCTCACAAACACAGAGTAGAAAGGGAGAATCACCTCCCTTGACTTCTCTTGATGCAGCCCAGGATGCCATCTCATGTCCAGTTTTTTCATCCACCAGAGCCCCCAAGTCCTTCTCCACAGTGCTGCTCTGAATGAGTTCTTCTCCTAATCTCTAAGTTAGTATTTATTATTTGAATAAACTAAGAAGAACTTGCTCTCTGAAAGCACTGCTCTATCTTGCTGCAAAGACCCTCCTTCCCCAGGATGGACCTGACCTGCTTCATCTCTGCAATACAATTTAGTTACTGTGGACAACAGGCCTGGCCTGGAGAAGGGCAACAAGAAAAAGAAGTCAAAACAAAACAGAAAAAGAACTCAGGAATTCCATTGCAGTGCTTTTTAACACCCCAGTTGCACAAGATTAACCTGCTCACTCCAACCACACCAGTGAGCTGGCATTGCACCACGAGTGATCAACCATGTCCAAAATTGTTTTAATTTCATAAAACAGAATGAACAAGGTTTCCCACAAAGCTAATTGGCCCATACTTTCATGCAAAAATACACTTTCCCAGAGCTCACTTGCTTGCCCTGGGAGAGAAGGTCTTTGTGTCTGGAAGAGGCAGAAATCAGACCAGGTGTTTAATGACTAGGACAGCAATAAAGAACTACACAGAATTTGGGTAATCCTGCATAGGCTAAACTGTCAAGCACAAATCTTCAGACATCTGCTTGTCCCTCTGAATGAGCAGAATTGTTACATGTCCCAAGTGTCAAATTTACATGGGCAATGAAGGCAGCTAAATAGACAATCACACAATTTACTTCCAAAATGTAATGGTTCTGAGTAGACAAATCAAGGAAAAAAGTAGGCTCCAATTTAGGGAGAGTTAAAAGAATTCCATTCAAAGGTTCATTAATTTGTGTTTTCTGCCAAAACACTCTTCTCAGCATTTAATTCCACCCATCACTCCTATATTCAAACTACATTAGTGGAGTATGATCGATATTACAGAAGGTTAGGAAATGCCAGAAATTGGGTAGTCTACATAATAATCTACTTCAGTACATCACAACTATACATTTTACACCAGAGTAAGCATTTATGGGATGACATAATTATTTAAATATTGGCCTGAACTGAGCATTTTGGGAAACATTACCATTCGTATTTGTGCCAGCACATCTGTACAAATCTTAGAGTAGAAATAAAACAATAATGCATTAAGGAGCAATGCTGTGGGGGTGAAGTAAATCCTAAGTCTAAATGTAACAGCAGCTTTGGCCTCAATACATACATCAGGCAAGGAGATGAAGAAAGTGACTCATCAACAGCAGCTTGCCTGATTATCCCAAAAGTGTCTGAACTTCAAGGCAAGGGGAAGGCATTCACAAGGATGTGAACAGGGGGTTATTTCTCCTATCTGAACGTGCACAGACCAGAATTTCTTGACATACAAAAGGATTATAACAAATTCATTCCACAATCAGCTGTAGAAACCCCACCTGCTGTGCAACTTCTCAGAGCAACTGGTTTTTAAGCCACCAGCAGCATTCAAGGCTCACCACTGTTAGCAGTAAGAGAGATGCTACTCTTAAAATTGGCTTGATGTATTTAAAGATATTTACATTATAAAAATATTTTATGTTTAACATTTGGCAAGTCTAAATACTGACTAAAGTCAGATTCATCCATATTGTCATATTATGCTCTTCCTGTAGGTCAAGCATTCATCACATATGATGCTTGCTTCTTGAAAGACAAAGCAAGAAACAAGTGAAATATATTTGCAAGTGCATATATACATACACATTTATAAATCACACACACATTTATAAATCACTACAGCTATGTTTGACAATACAGCTCAACCAATCTAATGGGTTCATCTGCTTAAGCCGAATATTCAAGGCTTTATGTTCTCACTATAAGCACATTAGTGTCACCAAACTAAGATCTGCCTCCTGAGATTGAAGTGACAGAAAGCATCTCACAGCAACTGCTAGCCCTACAGGCACCCAGGAGGTGCCTGGCCTGAATCCCAGCAGTACTGTCAAGCCCAGCATGCCAGCTCCACAAGGAAATGAGAATCAGACCTCCCTTAATCAGAGGTCTGATCCCACAAATGTGCTGCAGCTACACCAAAAGCCCAACGCACTCCCCAGAGGTGGCTGTGGGTGCCCCACAGGTTTCTGGGGGTCCATGGGTCACTGCAGGCACTGGAGGTAACTCAGAGCAGGCCTACAGCAGATGGCAGAGGTCTGCATTGGATCCAGGCCTGGAGTGAGACTCACAAAATTATTTCATTTCCATCTCTTCACTGCTGGCTCGCCTCAACACCCATTCAGATTAGAGGACTTTTTTTTTCTTTTGCCAACTAAACATAGCAGGAGCTTAATGGCTTACTGCCTTCTCCAGGGACTGGAGCTCCAGCACCAGCTCCAAATGAGTCTTGTGCATGTCAGAGACACGGTGTAACCCCAGCATGGAAACAGGCAGGCTCACTTGTTGTCTTCCCGCCTGAGCCCTGCTGGGTGTCCCAGCCTGGGGCAGAGAGAAGGTGTCCAGAGGCTGAGGCTCTCCACAACCCCACACTGCTCCCAACTCCAGCCACAGCAGTCACTTCCACATGTAAGAGGCACTAACTGCTGAGGATCAGCCACTGCTTGGCAAAACTAAACACTTCTGGAGGAAATGCTGAGCATCCACCAGGGTTAGCTCCACCCAGAGACAGCACACCACAGGATGTACTTTTCTTCTTTGTCCAATAAATGTACTACAGTATTACTAATTTATGATGAAGCTACTTTACATGCCGCTGGCACAAAACAGCAGGAATCACATTATGTATCACTGCTTTGGAGGCTTGGTTTTATGTACCTCATTCTGCAGAAAGGCAGTCACTGTTTCACATTCCTCACCATGGGACATGAGGACACCAAGAAAAAACCCTAAGCCTTTAGTTGGAAGGTTCAGGGACAGATGTGAAGGGATCCCACAACCACAGATGCAATGCTGTCAAGGAGAAGTATGTCCTACACAGTGAAAGCCTGATTTTACTTTGGTGTATGTACAGGATGGGCAAAGTTTTTCTCCAGGAATTACAGCAGTACAACTGCAACACTTCATGGCTCAGGCTTTGCCTGCTACAGGAATCTGCAAGGTTTAACCTCACCAACACATCAAGCCTCTGGTACAGCCACAGGGACATACAGTAAGACTCACAGTTGGACTTTTTACTGCACTGCAGCAAAAATATATGCCTTGGAGGAACTCAGCTGTGTGTGACTACACAGGAAAGGCAACAGGGATACACAGCCAGGCATGCCCATCTCTGATCCTGATGTGACTTTGTCCACCTGTTAAAACAGGTGCCCCCTCTCTGGACCAGTGCCTGATTTTGCAATACCTGTCTTCCATATCTGCCTAGGTCATGGCCAGCCAGCTCCAGGGAAGCCTGGATGGATGGACAACAGCTTCACAGAGGAAAGCACTGTGTAGCTATGACACTGCAGATGGGTATAACTGATTAAAGCCACACTTCTTGGAAGGCAAAGATCTAATTTCTAAACCAAATCACTTCAATATGCTAACTGAGTGCTAAAATTGTTCTCTCAGGAGACATTAAAAATTATTTGAAGAGCTATATGTGCACATATTGCTGCTGATCTTCAATCAAAATGTGAAAGAAAAAGCAGGCGAATGCATTCAATTAAAAAATCACACACTGTTTTCAAGAAAAAACGTGCAACATAAATGCAAAACTTACTGTAGCAAGGACTTAAATGCATACTAGAAAGTAAACTATTGGGAGAAAGCCTTGTGCCTGCTAAGGGAGCAAATGCAGTATCCAAGGTGCATGTCCAGCTGATGCCTCTATGCCCAAACTGGAAAGGGCACTTAAGGACAGAAATGTAAAGCACAGAGGAAATCACAGGAATTATTTTCAAAGGTGTCAGTAAAATGCATAAAGTCCCAGAAAGGTTCTATTTCTGTTTTCCATTCATGTAAATATTTCAGCTTCTCAGGACACTGTGACTAATACTGGACATTATCAATGGGCAGTGCTGTTAACAATCCATATCAACAATCCATATCCTGTGTTACAGGAAAGGCAATGAGCCATACTGCAATCACTCACACATAATTCAAACCAGTAAAAGTAAGAAAACAATATTCTGGATTCACCACAAACACTGGATTCATTCCTCTACACCCCTCAAACCACAAATACATTCAGCCACCTTGATCTTTTGGTCTTTACTAACACAAGGCTGCTCCTGTACTGAAATCACACTGAACAGAGGAGCATCCCACTGCTGCTTCCTTCTACAAAGCTGCAGTCAAAGGCCTGACTTTACACTGCTTGCACAGCACAGCTTTTCAAGGGAATTATCCCTGGCTCATACCACTGCACACATAAAGGAGCAGCAGTTTCCTAGGATGAAGAGAGTTGTGAAGTTAATAATTGGGTACCCAAGATTTCTGCAAGAGAAAAGAAGCATTTGAGCCCAAGCTCAGGGACACATCTGACAGCACAGAACACAGAAAGCTTTGCCATGCAAGCTTACCAGTACAGGTGCTCCTCCACCATCTTGGTCACAGCTCTGGAAACAGCTCTTTCATGTGGACCAAGGTGTTTATTTAAATTCACTCCAAGTTTCTCTTCCAAAAAGTCAATAATGAACTCGGTGCCAGATACTTTCTTGTGATTGTATTCAATCCAAGGCATTTTCCCTTGAGGGGAAAGTTTTCCATCAAAATAGTTCTAAGGAAAAAAAAAATCAAGTAAACAAACAAATATACAGGCAAGAAAAGCCTTCAGGTTCTGTTTTAATGAGATAAGTATTTTTAAATAATTTTCTGTGTTCTTAAAGAAACAAACCCACAAATCTTTTTTTTTTTTAATAATACTCTAGAATAGCAATGGCTACTCAATCAGAGCAGCAGCTTTACCCTACATAAAATTCAGACAGAATTATTTCCAGGCCCTGCACAGTGTTACATGCTTCTACGCTGAATGTCATGTGATATAATATTATTTAAATAATATTATTTATTATTTAAATACCTGGGTTATTTAAGGGTTGGAGATGCTCAGATCTCCCAGAAGATAGTGCCCGTTATCCTAAAGAAGTTGTAAATCAGGGGACTCACAACTAAATTCAGTACCTGCATGCATCTGCACTTTCCATGTTAAAAGTACCTTAAAAAAATAAATTCACTACCCAACTCAGATGGCTGCATTACCTCCAAGGACAAAACACACAGAGTCACAAACATACATGAAAGGTATATCATTCCAGAAGGCATATCATTCCATGAGCAAAAGGGAAATCTGCTTTTCTGCTTTCTGCAACTTCAAAACGTAGAAATCTCAGACATTTACAGACATACTCATTACAACTGGGTCTCCCAAGAGCCCAGCACAGCAGAGCACAGCACCACTGCATACTGCTATACCTGCTCAGCACAGCACTCACACAGAAGCTGCAATGTGTTTTCCTATGACAAGGCAAAACAGAGATTAGAGAATTTCTGTCTCATGTAACAAGCATGAGAGGAAATGCTGGCTGCCAAAACATGATCAGATATTTGTCCCCAATTCTCTTACTCCTGAAGGCAGAGACACAAGGCACAACCTTTTTCCTTTCTTGTGATTCCCATCCTCACATCCTGTTATTTAGTGAATGAAAACTCCTAGCACAGAAAGCTGAGCAGTAAAGGCTCTGCACTCAATCTCTGGCAGTCACCCCAAGAATTTCAGGACCTAGCTCCTAATTGCTGGAGGTTTAGGGCTTGCAGTTCTGGATTGATGTTTGGGTGTCGAGTATTTACCCTTCCTGAATCCATTTAAAACAGATTAAGGTGCTCTGGCAGCAAGGAGCATACACCAGAACACACCTCCAGCTCAGTCTGAGAGCACCAGCATCCTGGCTGCCCCAAATGCCAATGTGCAATGCACTGGGACCATGCAGCCGTTCCCAAAGGCTCTTCCTTCCGGATGGAAACAAACAGGAACAACTCTGGGAAACAATGCCTTCTGGCTGCAGCCTTTCCTGGGCTTGTGCCCAACAAACAGCATGGCAGGGACACTGGATGATATCATGTCTCACCCACCTCACCCCTGTGTGGGTGAACAAAGCAGCTGAATCCCTCCCACAGAGGCCAATCCCATGGCACAAGCTCTAAATCTGCTGAACGTCTGAAACTGAAAGGAGAGCACTGCCCTGTCCTTCCACCTTCCAAGACCTCTCCTTCATCAAAAATGGCCATTCAGCACTGAAACTGACACATTTCCATAATTTTTCATTGTGACTTTACAAGAGAAAGGTTTTCCTGGAACTAAAAAGCATGTTTAGAAGATCCTAAGCATTGCTGGCTTAATCTTCATTAAGCCCTTCCATTAAGACATTTCCCTTCTTGTGCACAAACACTGGCGGCTTGCAGAAGCTGCTGGACTTGAAGATGTGTTCATTACATCTTCCAATTACTGCAGTCCATACCATTTGCAACCCAGAAAAAAGCAAGTTATTACTCAGCTGCACATTTCTTCAAGCACATATATCTAATACATATAAATACATTCCCTAAAAAGATTTTTGTGTTTCATTACATACGGTTTATCAAACAAAACAGGAAATATCTTTCACTGACCTGAGAAAAATCTTAGTCTCTTGAGAAGTCTGTTGTACTGTTTTTGTATCCACTGTTCTCAAACAGACATTTTTAGGCTTGAAACCTCTGCATCCTTATGGCTGATACTAATTGTTATCAAATATTTATCAATTTTCCACTTGAAAATTGTTCCAGCTGCTAAGCAGGAAAACGCTACAGTATTATTAAAAACCAAAAACAAACCAAAATAATATCCCTTTTCATTCACAGTACATTAAGTGCCTGCAGAGCAACAATAACAATAGCTCTACAAAACCTCATTCATAAGGAATTTACAAAAAGAATGACACAAGGTATTTCTAGGGTAATTTTACAGTACTATGCAGAAGAAATTAGATTTCACATTTTCCATTACTCCCGTTTATGATTTTACATTCACTCATGTCTTTTCCTGAGGAGGCTGCCATTTCCACAGACCTGGCATGAAAACAGCACATTCCTGCTGTGCTAATTATTTATCAGATTACATAAAGGCTCAGCTCTTCATATTCTTGAGGAAATCAAGGAATACCCAAAAGATCTTGATGAGCACACAGACAGGGCTCTTTCAAAGCAAGCTTTACCAAGAAAACCATCAAATGTTTTGAAAACACAGCTAGGGATTATGACAGCCCAGCTGGGGTGGGGCTGCCCAAGCCATTTTTCATGGAAACTCACACATAGATAGGCAGATTCCAGAAAACATAAGCACATGACAATAGTGCACATTTTGGGAGAAATTCAGGTGATAGTAAGGTAGGAATATGTCACTCTACTCCAACCCTCACGTGCCATTAAAGCACGTTGCATAACACAAAGCACAATACTCGACAGTCTGATGCACCAAGGAATCAAAAGTGTAAAAGCTGTTTGAGCACCTCACTGTCCTCTGTTCACCCCGTTTCAGAACCCTCCCTTCAAAGCAGTCCCTCCCCAGCAAGGTGATGACCACTGCAGGTCTCCTGGGACGAGCACCAGCTGCCACCTGCAGCACCTCTCCATCATGGCCCCTGACAGTGTGCAGGGAATCAAGGTGTTTCCTTCAGGATCCTGCTGATCCCCCTTCACACCCACCCTGCTGCCTGCCAGGCAGCCTTGGATCACCTACAGCATCCTAAGGGTAGCACAGTCATGAGGGAACAAGACCAAAGTCTACAGGAAGAGTGTAATAGACTCCAGTCAAGAACAGTGCCCTCTTCAGCTCCCCTCCCACCCAATCCCACAGCAGCAGCCATACTTTCCTCCACTCAACAGAGCCCAATGCAGCACCACACTCCTAACACAAGGACAGAAACCATATCTGCTGCTTCCAGAAAAAAAGAGCTGTGTCCTCAGCTCCACCAAACTTACCTCTAAAACCCTTCAGAGGGTCAGTGACCCCACAAAAACCTTAAGCCCATGTAAGCCGGCACAGCTCAAAGCGCCATCCTGGTGTTCCCAGCACCCACAGGACCCATTCCTGCTCCCACAAAATGGCACACAGAGCATGTGGGGAATCAAGCTGAGTTAAAACCAAATAAACTAAATGTCATGGCTCTAGCTAGGCCAGCTCTGATCAGCCTGAGCTGCCACAGAACAGCATGTGCAGGAAGGGACAAGGGCTGAAGGTAGGCATGTTGCTTTTAATGGTCTCGACAGTTTCGTGTATTCACAGATAGTGAGAGACATGCAACACCAAAAAGTAATGCTGACCTTCAGTACAAAAACTGAAGAGGGGAGGATAACCCTCTAGAAATTCCTCTCCCCAAAAAGCTGTGTGATTTCTGACTGGCATGAGCTCTCCAAACAACTCCATCCTGAATCACACAAATGCTGTGTTATCTTTCAGAAGTGACCATCTACAGCCACAACCATCTTTTATAATGCAGTTTTATTTACCTACTCTGCACCAGAGCAAACCTGACCATCACAAACCTTTGAACTGCATCAGCCATTAGAAAGAAAACAGATCTCACCAAGAGAGTCACCCCCTCAAACGTGCAATTTCTACCCAAATTATTTTGAGAAAAGCAATGTGCACAACGCCCTCCTGCTCCAAGGACATGTTCGAGCTTCAGAATCTTGCAAGTTCTCTAAACCTAAATGAGGAAAATACATCCCACAGGATGGAAGTCTTCCCCTTTAGTACTCCCAAGCATCTGATTCAAATCCCACTGAATTGTAAGAAAACATTAAACTCAGACTTTTAAAGAATTAAGCAAAATGTACTAATTAGACTTTCTTTCTCTTCCAATGTAAAGGAGTTTAGCTGCATATGAAGCTAAATATCAATGGCAAATGTGTTAAAAAAGGTGCAATAGGGTTCGTTTTCCGTTGTACAACATTTGACTTACACAAAACATTCTTCCTAACACCTTGGTATGGAATAAAATGCCAAATTTATATTAATGAGGAAAAAACAGAGGGAGAAGAAAAAAGGAAAAGAAGTCCAGACATTTCTTCTACCTAAGATCTTAGTTATATATATATCATCATTATTTTATCATCTTAAAGGCATTCAGTGCTTAACACACACAGAAAAGGAAAACCATCTCATGTCTCAAAAAGCCTGTGTGCTGCACAGCTTGCCAACACCACAAGATGTGTGCCACACTTGCAGTGTCCCAACTCAACCTCGATGCTAACGGGCAGGACCATGAGATTCAAGTGTCCACTCTCACAGCTTTCTTTGACTGGAGTAGCTTAAGGCTCATTCTCTGCAGGAAGATGGCATGGGATGCATCCAACCACAATTAAGGAGCAGTATTCATGACCTCTAAAAGCAATCCTATCTCACTTCACTGGGGAGGAAGCATTAGCCATGGGAGGTGAAGCAAAAGGTAAGCACTTCTTCCCAGACAGCTTTAGAGATAAGGCCTCCACAAAAAACAAGAACCTGCAGCTGTCTAATTGTGGTGTCTTTAGCATGGTGAAATTCAAGGATCAAATAGTCTTCTGCTTTAGTTTTGGGGTGCTATTTAGTGTTATATAAATTCCAGACTATTCTCCCACTTCAGCATTTTAACATTGATTTAGCTTCGCCAGTTAAGTCTACAGCTGTTCCAGATAATCTTATTCAAGTCATATCTTTAAAGGTTATACACTAAATTTAATTGGAGACATAAAAACGTTGGCAAACCCACCTAGCTGTAGGTGTATGTTTACATCTCCCTGGGTGAGACAGACTGGGGGAAGGAGAGGCAGGACGCCTATGTGCCATTTCACGCAATTACAGAGAGCTGCAAAGCAAAGGCAAACTGCACGACGTACCTGGTAGGGTAAATCAGCCATCCTCAAGTACGTTTCCATCTTCAGGCAGAACGGGGATAAACTCGGAACGCCATTCCTAGGCCTTGAAAACTGATGCAGTATGATAGCATCCTTCGAATCGAGCTCTTCCTCTTTCCTGTCAAAAGAAAAAATTAAAAATATAAAAAACACCAACAAACAAACAAGAAAACCAAGCCAAACCGGACAGGCGCACGATACATCAGTACATTGAACAGACAAAGGAGAAACCGCGGCTCTCGTCAGCCCTCGAGGGGTTTCGCTGCAGGTTTTGGTTGCCGGGTCCGGAGGCAGCGAGGGCCCAGCCCGGGCCACCTGTGGGGGCGAGCGCAGGGCTCGCTGCGGAGCCGCCTCCTGCGCTGCTGCAAAGGGCGAGTGGGGGGGAAAGGAAGGTAAATGGCAGAAGCACGGTGAAGGAGAGACCCCGACCCGCCGGCCCTCGCCATCCTGACCCCTCAGGTGTAAGCGGCTCCGAGCGCCGCCCCGGCCCCGCGGGAAGCGCTGCAGCCCCGCAGCCTCACCGTATGGCCAGCAGCTCGTGGAGCAGGTACGCGGCGGCGGCCAGCAGGGCTCCGCCCGTCAGGTACAGCGTCTTCTTCCACCAGGAGTCGGAGCCCAGCGCCGCCATGGTGCCGCCGCCGCCCGACAGCGGGAAGGCGACGATCTCGCCCCCATAGAAGGCGGGCGGCGGCTCCTCGGGCCCCGCGTACCAGCCCAGCGACAGGCTGCGGTTGCGGCTCAGGTCCGCCACGCAGGAGCGCGGCGCCGCCAGGCCCACCCCCCACAGCATCCTGCGCCCGGCACCCGCATCCCCCGCCCGGAGCCGCCGAGCCCCCCGCCCTGCCCTGCCCGGCCCCCGGGCCCAGCCCGGCCCCGCGGCGGGGAAGGGCCGCGCCGCGCTGGGCGGCTCCGGCGGCTCCCGCGGCTCCCGGGGCCGGCGCTGCGCGGCTGCGCGACCGCCCTGGGAAAGGAGGGGTTGGGATGGGAGGAGAAGGAGAAGGAGGGGATGGGGTGGACCCGGCCGGGTGTGTCCTGTCCTGCCCTTGCGGAGTCCCCGGGCCCGGCAGCCGGTGTGCAGAGCTGAGGGCGAGGATGCTCGGGACCCTGGCTTGTCAGACTGGCCGCGGTCCGAGCATCGCCCTGCTGCTCCTGGAGGAGCAGAAGCCTCGCATTCACCCGGTATTTGGGACAAAAAGAGCCACCCCCCTACGCCTCCGCCCCCGGCCGCAGCTGAGCATTGCCGCTCTGTGTCTGCAAACACCGCCGCGATTTTCTTCTTATTATTCTGGTGCTCGATGAGGTGGCTGAGGAAAACATCCCTGTGAGCAGAAAGGGAAGCAAAATGGCTTCAGAGCAAATCCCTTGTCCCACAAGGTCATGAGATGTTACTGGCACTGAGGGGCCCAGCGTTCCCTGGCCTCCCTGCTGCAGTAGGATCTTTGGGTATCCCATGATGGCATGAGCAAAACTTCACCTGCATTCTGCCAAATATTCTCAGCTCTGCATATCACACCAACCCCAAAACAGCACCCTTTGTGTTTTGGATGATACCACTGCCTAAACAGCCCCTTGTCAAATGCTGTGGTGTGTATAACTCCATAGCCGCTCCAAAATGCTCACACAAGTTGGATATTTTATTACGGCATCAGGCAAGAGAAATTTCCTTATCCTTAACATAAATGCACCAGTTTACAGCATACAGGAAGGATGGACAAAGTCTGTGACCAAGACTTTGTAGATGCTTTACCTCAGGATATGGGACAGGTGGGACAAAGGAGTCAAATGAGGAAGAGGAGGTCCCTGAGCAAACTCATGAAGTTCAGATCCATATTGTGACTTCTCCTAGTGCCAGCAGTAGCCGGTTTTGCGTTTAATTTTTCTGTGCAACATCAATGAGAGCAACTTGAAGCTGTTAGGAGAGGTTTAGGTTGGATGGTAGGGAAAGGTTATTCACCCAGAGGGTGTTCGGACACTGGAACAGGCCCCCCAGGGAAGTCACAGCACCAAGCCTAGCAGAGACCAAGAAGGTCTTAAGTGTGATTCTTGAGGTTGTCCTCTGCAGGGCCAGGAGCTGATCTTCTGTACCCTTGTGGTCCTTTCCATCTCAGGACAGTGTGTGATTCTGTGATTCTATGAACTGTCCCTGCCTCCTACCTGCACTCACCAGGGAAGGCTGCTGTGCCCTGCAACCTTCCTGCAGCAGCTCCTTGCAGCATTTTGTTTTGTTCCTCACTTTGAGCTTGTTGTTTACACATACTCAGTAGCCACAGGCTGCCATGCAAGTATGTGTTCAATACTGTGCTGATACTCTGCTCTCAGGAGTCAGTGGGATCAGAGAGGTCCTCACAGTAAATCTCATTCCACATACAGGTTGTGCCCTCCACTCATCCTTAGCAAGGTGCTGGCTGAGCAGCTTCTGCACAGCTTTTGAGCTATCCCACATGACAGGTGATGCACAGGTAATGAAACAGGAGTGGAAAGTGAGAGCAGCAGCCTTTTCCTGCCACAGCTGATCATTTGCAGCATCCAGTTTTGTTAAATTCTTATGGCAGGGCAATGAAGAGACAGAGAAGAAAAGTGCTCTTTCTCTGCTACAGCACCTGCAAATCTCAGGCCAAAGATTTCTTTCAAGTGGCAGATAGCCTAATAAATCTGGACTGCCACAGCCTGGTTGCTGGTCTCAGCTTTTGTTCCTGCATGGGAATTGCTTGCTGTGTTACTGATAAGAGGGATCCAGTTACAGCTGGGATCTAAGTTTCTGTGAGGGCAGGGAGAGGTCCTGGGCATCCACATCCCAGCTGCTGCCACTGCTTGACTTTCAGAGACAAATGAGTTATCCTGAAATCTGTGTTTTTATCAATGGCCAGCACAAGTGAGACCTGTGGGGGAGAGCAGAGAGGGAAGGTCCTGGTGCAGACCCAGAAAAGTTAGGCAAACCTGGATGCACTGCTGCAGTTTGTGCTCTGAAGATCGAAGCTGTGTTTTGGTGATCCAGCTTATGCCTGGTTGCCCCAGGACTCCTAGAGCAGCACTTCAGCCAGGTGCTTGGCACTTGCTCAGTAAGGGCACTGCTACCCTTCTTTCAGAGGAGAGTTTTATGCTGTGTTAATCCCATTCTGGCTGCAGTGTTGCCTGGCAGCTGCAAGAGCCCAGAGCACAACAATGCCTTCTAGAACAGTGTGGAAGCCTCAGCAACAGCACATGTACCTCATGGTTTGTCAGATACTGATCTGCATGGAAACCCCAGCAGCCCTGCTGTCCTGCTCATAAACAGGATTTTTAGAGGTTGATTATGATCTGCATGGTGGTGACCAGACCTGGCCATTTAAAATGTGCAGGTCCCAATGTCACATCTTGTTTGCCAGAGTTTAACAGCACATAAAGAGCATGGGTAGAACACAAGTATCCTCATACCTGTCCCACACTAGGTTGTCCTGCTAGTGGTGCTCTTCCTTCAGGTTTCAAAGATTTCTGCCAGCAGGTATTGAATCCATTTGGTCTGGCAGTCTGGTAGTCAAGCTTATCACCAGGAAAAACAGCAAAAAGTGTGTGCTTAGCCTGCTTTTTCCCTGGCTGTGGAAGAATGCAATGTCCCTCCCTTCAGGCACTGTTGCCTGTGGCAAATGACTTGTATTACGGAGGATTATTAGCTGGTAGCAATGCCCACAAACCCAAGTATTGTTTTCGGCTCCTGTGCATTGCAGGTGCCACAGTCTGGGTGGTTCCTGAGACATGGTCTGATTTTCCCTCAGAGAGGGAAATTTGCCTCAGAGAGGCTCACAAGAGATGCCCACTGCACTGGCAGCTGCCTCGCTGTCTCACTTAGGGAGGGTGGAAATCCAGCTAATTTAGCATGTTTGCTTAATTGTCACTGTTCACTTTTTTGAGTGGGGAAAATGAGAGCTAAGAGTGATGCACTCAAAATCTGTCTGGCTGCAAACACACACCGAGTGCAGCACAGACTGCAACAGTCATCCCTCAAATACATCACACAGAGCAAAAGACCCAATACATTAAAGTACACTTCTATCTGTAATCTGTTCTGGTCCAGCTGCCTAAAGGAAGAGAGAGTAACAGAATAAAATAAGTAGATTTTTCTAGTTAACATAAATCTGACTTTGTTACATAGCAAGTCAGATTTTTCTTCTGAAGCCTGCAATTTGATTTGGGGGCAGGAAGGCACTTAGAATGTTACTAGATTCTCTGCATTGGCATAAAGACTCTTGATCTTCATTACCTTTTTTTTTCCCTGTAATGTCCTTGAGTTCATTGCACATCTTTAAAAAAGCCTGAGGTTACCATGGCAGGCTGCCCATGAAGGTGGCATCGGGTGGAAACCACAGTCTGAACCCAGTGGTTTGTGATGGGACTTTGTGGAGTGCCAGTGCACAAGCTGTCCCAGCTGTGTTTTAGCTCAGAACTAAGTCAGCTTTTTAAAAATCAGAGCTCATGCTCTGAGCTCATGCTTACCACAGGTTTTAATTCCATGTACTGCTGGGTTTGAAGAGCAGAGTTTCACTCACTAGATCTCCCCTGGGGTTTTAAGAAGTAGGGCCACCCATTTTTCACTTCCCGCGCTGGTGTCATCCGTGGCTCCTACTCACTGTCTCTCTCATTTCCAAGTGCTCAAAGGCAGGGCAGCACAGAGCTTTGGGCAGCTCCATGAGTCAGGGTGGGTTGGTTGTACAGGCTGTTCTGCCTGAAGTGAAAGCACCTTGCTGTGCCCTTGCACAGGGACTGGCTGTCCCCAGCTCAGGCTGGGCTCTCAAGTCATCCCATGGTATGGGAGTGCTTTCCTTCTCTTTGAAGTAGCCCAGACTTACTGAGCCAATGACATAATTTAATGGGTTTTGTGGTGAGGTCTGAGTTTATGAGAGGGTGAAAAAAAGGTTTTTCATCACCAGCAGGCTTCCAGGATCTTTCTGAAACAATCCCTGACTGCTGCCAGGATTGGTTTTGTTGTAATATTAATGATTTCTCAGGGCAGCTTGAGTTTCATAAACATGTCTTTTTAATTATTCAGATAAGAATAGCCAAGGTATAGATGCAAAACAGTAATGCTGTGTTTCAGTTTGGATTTAGAAAAGGAATTAATGATACTTTAATGACATATAAAGGTCCAAATGCATAGAAAATGCAGAACATCAAGAATCTAAACTACTTCAGTGCTATATGGAAGTGTCTGTATGTAAGTCCACATTAAGTGCAATTCCAGCAGTTCTCCAGAGTTTACTTTGCACTTGCTGGGAAACAAAGCCACTTTCTATTGCAACACATACCCTGAGTCTACCCTGAATAATGTAATCCAAGTTCCTTGCTTTCACGGGGGGAAACAAAAAGAAAAAGCTTTGCATGGAACCTCCTGCTTTCTGCAGGTGGAAGTACTCAGGCTGGTAGCTGAGTATAGCTGACTGCTCCTCAGCTATACTGACAGACCCACAGTCTCAAAAATCTTTAGTTGTTTTTAATTTTATTACTCTGTTTTACATAATAGAGTAATAAAATTAAAAAGTAATTTTATTACTCTATTTTATTACTCTGTTTTTTGGACAGCTGGCAACCCTCCCAATGTCATGGGGGTAGTTACATGATTTATAGTCAGGTCTTTCATATAAAACTTTCTCAATAGAAGAATAATGTTGGGAACCTGCTACAGATTGCTTGCCATAGCCTGGTGCAGTGGTTCCCAGTCTTTGTCCATTTATAGGTGCTGTCTGATTTATAGCATCCTTAGAAGTAAGTAAGTATGATTTGCAATACATACTGCCATGACCTGGTTGGCATCTCAGTTCATTTTTAACT